GCATTATTAGGTATTGTAGCTGTAAAATATTATTTCCATATGACAGATCATTTTCAACAGTGATATACTGTAATTTATCCATTGAATAAAACTTATATTTTTCACAGACATTATTTTCACTCTGAAAAGAACAAAAATTTTTCACTTTGAAAATAGCAAATTTGCTGCAAAACTCTCAAAGTGTTGGAAGAAAATACTCCCTATACATATATCTAGAGTGAATAAACCATCCTGTCAGTCACTGACTAAAACTGCCAAAGAATTCTTTTCTCCAAATTTAGTCAAAATCTGGTGATGATGTCACAGGCAACGCCATTGTGTTATGGAAAGATAGCTAATATAATAATTCAGTGTTTTGTAGTTGAATATCAAATTTATATCACTTGTGAGACAATTTTTTTCATTATTAAATTTTCACATTTTGCACTGAAAATGTAAAAAAAAGAAAAAGAAAAATCCTTTCCCACTCGTGAAATAAATCCCATTTCCAATTAAAATAAACCTTGAATATCCTGTATGTACTCTAAATATCAGGTTTGGTTTTTATACTACAATGTATTATTAAGCAATGTAAGGTATTTGTGCCTTATTTTGACATATATGTATTTTAGGTGCTTTGTACTTGGATGGGGGAATTGACCTAGCAGATAGGGTTTTTGGGGATACCTTATTTAAAGGGGAAGACAAGTATCTGAATATCTGGAGGGACCTACCACTGCATATTCTACAGGAGGATGAGCCAGGGTCAGATAGACACTGGATAGAGTCTAGTCCTACACTACAGGTGGGTTACGCAGTCATCAGTATCCATAAGTACTGTGGAATCACCATTGTTCGTGGGGGACCAATATTACTGGGTCATTTTTACCCACAAATTTATATCCACACGATCTATTTTGTCAATAGTATTGATTCATTGAATCTTCCATAAAAAGGAGGGACCCATGAAATTACATCCCCAGAACCAGTAAAAATTTGCTTGTCCACAAACATTGACCCCCACAAATTAAAATTATTCCAGAGTAATTTATGCAGTAAACTACAATCTTGGAAGAGGCAAACTCTTATCACTGTATGAGAGATGATACAGATGTTCTTTTGTATTCTGGTATTGAATTTGATTTTTTTTTTAATTCAGAAAAAAACTTGTGCTTTTATTTATAGAAATTGGTTCAATTTGAAGAGTCCATTGGGGTGAAATTTGATCACATTCGCCTGCTAGCCAGGGCATTTACTCTCAGGAGTGTGGGATTTAATCACCTCACACTGTGAGTTTATCTTTTGATATGAAAAACATGATGATGAAAATATGATTTGCATTATACATGTATTTTTTCTCTTTCATACCTAAAAATAGTTTTCTTTTGGAAGTTTATTTATTTGCCTTGTTATTCCAGGGGACATAACCAGAGACTAGAGTTCCTTGGAGACACTGTGTTACAATTAGTGGCATCAGACTATTTGTTTAAACATTTCCCAGATCATCATGAGGGTCATCTCTCTGTAAGTTGTTCAGCTAGAAAGCACTGTAAATGTACCGGATACTTTTTTTTTCCAGGGGGTCAGAATTAAGCGGAATCACAATTTGTGTTCAATCCATGGGTAGAAAATTACACAGATTTCATGGACTGCCATTGTATTTCTTAAAGACACTTTAAGTACACAATGACTGATTTCTGCAGAAAATTTTTGACCCTATACAAAGCAAAAATTGCATCCAATGCAGAAAACAGTACTCAGGTTACCTTCAAAGACCATGGGCCTCTTGTTGATTGTGAATTTGTTGATTCATTAAAATAATTTGGTACTCACTTCATAAGACATTTTTGAGCATTCCATTGTAATCTGCTATATTGTTGGATATTCTTTAGCTATTGAGGAGCTCTCTGGTCAACAACAGAACTCAGTCCATTGTTTGTGATGACCTGGGGATTTCTGAGTATGTCATTTTCTCAGATGCAAGAGGAGAAAAACAAGACAAAAAGACAAAAGAGAAGGCTGATCTATTAGAGGGTTTGTTATTTTGTTTTATGAATGTGGTATTTATTGGCTGTTTTCAGTGCTCTAGATGCATCTGAATTAAATGAACATGTTTTAAATTTTTTTTTATTTAATTTGATTTATTTTAATAGCATTTATTGGTGCTTTGTATGTGGACAAAGACATAGAAGTTTGCTACAAATTCTGTGAAGTTTGCTTCTTCCCAAGGCTAAGGGTATGTAATACACTTTCTTCACACACTGTTTATAATTTTAAAAAAATCCATGAATTTTTATGTGAAGAATTTTAATTAATGTAATAATTGTTATTGTTCATTGACTTTTCCAGGACTTCATTCTTAATCAAGACTGGAATGATCCAAAGTCACAGCTGCAGCAGTGTTGTCTGACATTACGTGAACTTGATGGAGGGGAGCCAGATATTCCTGTTTATAAGTGAGTTTTTAGTGTATTTAGATACATTTTGCACAACTTGCTGTTCTGAATTTTAAGAAATTTGGTAAACAATTCCATTTTATTAGAAATTAAATACCCTCCCCCCAGTAATATTTTTGTCCATGCACATATTAATATTAATAACAATTTTATTGCATTCATATGCATTAAAATCAGAGGTGCAGAGATTCACAAATTTATATGAAGTATCAAATAGTGTTTTAGACTAACATGGAAGAACATGTACATGTATTTTAAGTTTATCATTTAAAATATAATTTCAGGTGTATTGAGTCTATTGGTCCCACCAACACTCGTCGCTACACAGTAGCTGTTTACTTCAGACATGAGAGACTTGCCACCGGAATAGGTCACAGTATACAACAGGCTGAAATGTCAGCTGCCACTAATGCTCTGATGGAAAGATCAGGTATTTCAACATGTTTTATGATAGTTTACCTACCATTGGTTACATCTGATTTGTGCTTCTGTGTTCGATATTTCAATTACAGAATGCACAGACTTTAGGGCCATTACATGATCATGTACATGTATATCTTAATGGAAGAGATGCTAACAGCTTTCATGTAACATCTTCAATAGGTCATGAACTTTGTAATATTTAGTAACTTTTCTTGTGCAGAACTGTTTCCTATCTTGGCTCATCAGAAGAGATACCTGGAAAAGAAACACAAGAAGAAGCGGCCCAGTAGGAAAGGTGGGCGTGACCAGAACTCGGAGGATCGTCGTGACAACAGTGAGCGAGAAGACACCAGGGACAGGGAGGAGAGGGAGAGATCAGGGGGAACCTCATCAGCAAGTGAAAAGGAGATCCTCCCTCAGAAAGTTACCTCCCTTATTGACTCCTTTAAGGAGAGGAAGAAGAATTAAACTTTTAATGTGAAATTCCCTATGTCCGTGTGTGATTTTGTTCCGTAAAATGTTTCAATCACTGCCATTTGTGATTCATGATTTATTTCAATTATTTGTTTTTGTTTAATATCAAACCTTTTGTATTATATTATATCATATATAGCGCTACTTTAAAACTGATAATTTCAGATCATTGTACATTACGTGACAGAATGAATTGAGTGTTTTCTAAGTAAAGAGGAATACTGCCAATGATATTGAATTTCTCTGATTTTTGTTGTTGTTGTTGTTGTTGTTGTTGCTAAGTGCTAATTTTCTTGTTCAATTACAAATTAAATGGACAGTTTTATACTCAAACTGCCATGTATAAATTGTATTTGTGCTTGCTGATTTAGAGAAATTCATCCTTGTGATATTTTGTATGTAAAAAGTACAACTTGTTTCAGGTTGAATTAAAAATTTCCAAAGCATGTATGTTTTCTTTCATTTCATGAGTTTTATTAGTTTATTTCAACCAAACATTGTTTCTGTTTGTCCACATTTTACAAGATATAAATAAGAAAATATTTGAAAAAAAACTTTTTGTCCTTAGATGTGTCAAATTGTTTGCACTCTTGTTCAGTAATGTCTTATTGGAACAAATGATTACCCTTGGGACAAAATGTTCTAAGTACTATGAAATGTGTGTGATTCTGAAATACACAAAACATCTTTATACACAATTAATATGCAAAAATCCACAGTCTCATCTTTGATTTTTAATAATAAACATGAAAGGAATGGTTATATCAAATGGACACATGGATAAAAAAAAAATTCCAAGTTGCAATGTTGAATAAAGCATCCTCAAGTGTTCTATAGTACATGTATCATACAGAAAACAGTTGAACAATGTGACCCTGTACCTTTTATTTGTCTCCAGTTGATAACTTCTTTATGGAAAAACATTGGAAGTTCATAATTCATATGAAGATGGCTTATGACATAAAAGGTGTGTCATGACCTTGACCAGGGTCATTTGATCAAGTTCAATGTTACTTACAGAAAAAAAGTGTTTTCTGATCTCTTCTTGTAATGGAGAACATTGGAAGCTGATACTTTTCACAAATATTGCATATGATCTGAGGGCATGTATTGACTATGACTCAAGGTTATTCCAGCAAGTTTTTATCCATTTCCTGTCTCAAAAAGATTGCTTATGACTTAAAGGGTGCATACTGATCAAACCCAAGGTCATTTTAGATGCAACAGGTTGAAGGTAACTGGCAAAAAAAGTGTTATATTTGTGTTTGGGCTATAACTTTTTTAATGGATAAAACCTTGGAAATTCATACTTCACACAAACAGTACTTGTGTCTTGAAGATGTCTCATGACCTTGACCCAAGGTCATTCTGGCAGTTCAAGGTCACTGGAAGAAAAAGTATATTTTTTTTAACCTCAAACAAAGATTATTTGTGAGCTATAAAAAGTATATGTATGTTACAAACTTGACCCAAGGTCATTGTGGCAAGTCACTGGCAGAAAAAAAGTGTAAAATTCATGTCAGGTCCATAATTATTTCAAAGATGGCCAGATGATGTTTAATTTTTTCCAAGCAAGGTCATTTTAGCAATTTCAAGGTCCCGTTTATAAAATATTGTGAATGGACACTAAAAAAAAATGCAGCCGGTATTTTGCTTGTAGAATTTACATCGGGTTCGTTCTACAAATTGTAGGCAGTGAAACGTGTGTGAGAAAGTGAAAGTAGAACTGCAAGGTAAACATGATTTTCTTTAGTTAATCATTTCATGCTCTTCACTTAAAAAGACATTTGTTTTTCATATTTGAGCAAGAAACCTTGGCAGGATAAGAATAAGACATCGAAAGTTCTTTACTTTTTAAAAATTTCATGGACACAAAGTGATATTTATTTTATCAGAGGAAAAAATAGTTTCACAGATCTTATCGCATTTCCGTTTCTAGTTTTGGCCTTGAAATTTGTGCACTTTTCTGATAGTTTAAAGCAAAAATCGATTATTTGCCTCAGTATTTCACACGTCTCTCTCCATTTCCGCAGTGAAACTTGCAAAGGTATAAAATATATGGCATGTCAAACGTTACAATTAATATTCGATCTTTTTCATTTCTATAAATGCATATTTATATTGTTTATTTCACAATTTGCATTGTATTGTGATCGATAATTTTCCATTTCTGTTATTCACTTTCTATTTGTTTTGCATTATTTTTCATTTGCATTCTACAGTTTTCTTTTGTATGTTATATATTTGCTCATTTGATTCTATATTTTATCACAATTGATACTAAATACAAATAAATTCACATAAAAATACAAAATGAAACATTATATACAATATAAATAATCAATATGGAATACATATGGAAAATTAGACAATACAAATACCAAATATACAATACCAATATGGAAAATTGTAAAACACAAAAGATAATTATATAAATTGAAAATACAATGCAAATTGACAATTGATATTATGTATAATGCAAATAGAAAAATTTACAATACATAAAGTGAAATATACAATTTTTAGAAAATTATAGAATACAATTGGAAAAAAAAGAATACTGCAATGTTTGACAATGCTACAAGATCATGTGAATCTGCATAAACAATAAAATATAATTTATTGAAGCTTTGAAAAATCATTTATTTAAGGTGCTACATTTTAGGTTCTTTTTAACAGAATGATGCTGCTTGCTGTAGTCATATTGGCACTGTTTCCATCATTTAATTCAAATGTGATTGATCCCAAGGGTTATGTTGTGTATTGTCCATGTATGGGTGAGTAGTTATGAAAAAAAAATTCATTGGATGTATTTATCACCCAAAATATAGAATGTGAAAGTTCAATTTAAACATAATTAGTATTTTGATTATATGCCAAAAAAAGGAAAAAAAAAAATGTACATGTATATGACTGTGATCAAAATTGTCAACACCTTTTATGATACACTTGTAAATTAATAATTTATATTTTTTGTGGAGGTAGGAAGATTTGGAAACCAGGCTGACCACTTTCTTGGATCCCTGGCATTTGCTAAAGATATTGACAGAACACTTATTCTCCCACCTTGGGTTGAATATAACTTTCCCAAACCAACATCAGTAAGCTACTTTAAAATTTTGATAGTTAAAATTCTAATTCTTATTTCCAGAAGTGTAATTTAAAGGATAATACATGTATAGATATACGGGTAATTGTTTACAATATTTTGAATGTTAGATACATGTATGGTATGTTAATAAAGTAGATTTAACTTGAAATATTTGTATCTTAGGACCAAATACCCTTTGACACATATTTCCGAGTTGATGCTGTGCAAAAATATCACAGATCAGTCACCATGGAAAAGTTTATGAAAGATTTAGCACCAAAAGTCTGGCCAAAAGGGAACAGGACAGGTAATGCAGTCAATATTTTGATTTATATATGCAGACTTTTAAACAAAAAAATTAATAAAACTCTTAAATTTGAATTGACTATTAAAAGGTTTGATAAAGTGTGCCATTTACTTTCATTTTTTTGTACTTTTTGCTTCTTTGAAATTGAAGGGCAATACAAGCATGATTCCAGATTAAATAATTTGATTATTTTCCAGTGTTTTGTTATGGTCCATCTTACACTGGAGAGCCTGGCTGTGATGCCAAACATGGAAATCCCTTTGGACCTTTCTGGGACACATTTAACATAGATTTTGATGCTTCCGAATTCTATGAACCTCTGTCTTTTGATACGGCTAACCATTTTGAAGTGAAGCGGTGGAATGAGAGGTATGCACTAACATTCTGATGCATGTCATGTTCATTATTTGATTCTCTGTCAAGTAACAAAGAACAAGGAAGAAAAAATACTTCCTGGTCTCTTTTTCATTGACTATCAAAAGATTGCAATTGTTCATAACCTCTGATTTTGAATGTTTCAGTATTAGAATTTATGTAAATTACCGGTAGATAGTACATGTCTATATATGAAGGTCAGAGTCTAGAAAATAAAAACTGAACTAGATCTTTCATCTCTGTTTTAATTCATATATTTATGCTATTTTATATAGTACCATCCTGTGCTTAAAAAGCAAAAGTATAGGCATGATTGCACTCTTCAAAGGCAAAATGTATCTAAAATTTCTTGAAATTGCAACAACAAAAAATTTTCACCCCATATTTTTAGTTTAGAAGATATAAAAACCATGAAAACATAATTTATTAAAGTTACCGGTACTCTGATAGCAGCTTTGTGAAATTAACACCTAAGTACATGTATCTAGATGTTGGCCTCTTTTTTCAGATACCCTCCAGAGCGTTTTCCAGTGTTAGCATTCAAAGGGGCACCAGCTCATTTTCCTGTAGAGCAGAGAAATCTCAAACTACAGCAGTATGTTGTGTGGTCAGACAACATAGAGAAGAAAGCTAAAGATCTCATTTCCAGCAAACTCAGCAATGATAAATACATAGGCATTCACCTGAGACTTGGCTCAGACTTTGTAAGGAAGGTTTCATGAAATGAACAAGTAATTTTTAGAGTGGCATTGTAGAAAAATATGCAAATAAGACCAAAAAAATAGTATTTTGGTGTTTAGGAATGTAAGTATCCAGTTGTGTAAATTAAAGTATTATTATAAATGAATTTTGAACCATAAAGCTAGAGATCCAGGAACACACCTTTACTAATACATGTACATGTAGGTCTTTGGAAGAAGCTGCACATATTTTTTTCCTATTTTATCCCAGCATGTACAGCCTATCAGTACACAAATCAAAATCAGACTTTGTGAGGCTAGAAAGCAGTTTATAATACTGTACTTGAGGTGGATTTTTCTGTCTTGAGGAAAAATTTAATTATGTCTTAATTATGTACTGAGTTTGATTTTAATTTTAATTTTAGTCCAATGCCTGTAAACACATAGACTCTGGTTCGGCATTATTTGCCTCCCCTCAGTGTATTGGTTACAGAGGGGAGAAGGGAAAACTGACCGCAGAAATGTGCTACCCCTCGGATGACACAATCATCAAGCAAGTGAAGAGCGCAGTGAAAGTGAAAGGAGTCAACAATGTGTTTATTGCCACAGACAGCAGAGATCTCATTTCCAAACTGAAAAAGGCTATGCCAAAGGTATTAGATCAACAAAAAAAAAGATTTTTATCTGAATAAATCTGCATGTGTTGTCTCCTCCTTGTGAAAGGATATGACTCCTGAAATTTTTGGTAAATTCTTCCTCTTAAAGATAATTTATCCCATGCTGGTATTTGAAAATGACATAGTGGTTCTGGAATTTTTTTTAAGTTTAATACAGTAGACACAGAGTTACACAGACAAAAATTGAACATGAATGCTAGCAGTGACTTCTAATGTTGTGGTAATTTATCAAATCAGTGTTCTTTTAACTTGAAAAAAAAAGCTTTTTATCACTATTTTATTGAATCAACCATAAATTTGTGTTTTTATACAGGTCAATTTTGCCAAGCAAGATGGAAAGAGTCCACATATAGATTTGGCAGTGTTAGGAAAATCTGACCATTTTATTGGCTGTTGTGTATCCACATTCTCTGCATTTGTTAAACGAGAGAGGGATGTTGCAGGGAAGTCAAGTGAATTCTGGGCATTCAAGCTGCCCAAACGTGACGAATTATAACATCAAAGTTTATAGCATTTATTATAGAATTTTTTATTGCATATTGCTTTGTGTTGGGTCTTTGCCATATTTATTATCCATGTAATTGGTGCCATTTACATATTTCCAACAAAGCTTTTTTTTTAAATTATAAAAAAAGAACGATATCTAATCCAATTTTTACAAGTAAACTAGACTGATAAATATTCTATTGAAGATTATTACCTTTGGTTTATTTTTCATTTAATGGGTTGTGCTTGTATTCATATTTTAGTTGAATGTACTTTATAATAATACATTTATATTAATTAATAATAATAATAATAATCATTTTTTCACAAGTTCCATATACACTCAAGTGAACTTTTCAGAGTTTTTTTTTATGTGAGTAAAACATAAGCAGGTGGATTGAAAAATCCACATGCTGCCCTAACAGAGTTCTGCATTCATACTTCTACATTTTTTCACTCTTTTATATTATACATTTTGATCTAGAATTTGATGCAGATTGTTTTTTTGTATTACATGTATATACTAACTTTTTTCATCTTGTAAGATTTATACAATTTGTAAACATGCAATGCTTATTATGGGGTTACAGATACAAATATATCTTATAGTACATTTTACATATATTACAACTCTATGAGTTGAAAGCTATATGTGCCATTAATTTTTTTTTCCATTTTTTTTGGATGTAATTCACATATTTCAGGTAATTGACCAATAGATTTGCTCCTCATTGAAAAATGACATAAATGTCAGAAGTAAAAATATTCAGATTTGTTTCTGAAACTACATTTTTGTTATACATATATATACAAAATATCTTTTTTAGAACAGAAACAACCAATAGCACAGGGATATAGAACATTCCATTTGATATTTTTGTTGTAAATTTAGATACTGTTTTTATTAACTGTTTGTGAATGTTTATTGTTCGCAGATATTGGTGCTGATATACCAGTCGTTTTTTTTTATGTAAGTTTACAAACTACAGCACATTTCTAGTCAAGTCTCAACTAGTTTGAACAAAGGGTTATTACAGGGAAGAACTGATTAAGCTTTATTAATGATAACCATTAATATGACATGCTTTAAAAAAATACATATTAATAATTGGGCCTAAAAGTTCAAAGAAGAAATTTTTCTAGACATTTAAAAAAAATGCCCATCATGACAACCCCACACAAATGTATTTCTATTTTTTTTTTTGGGGGGGGGGGGGGGGGGTACAGGTCATTAAGTTTTCTCTTCTGAATAACTTGAGTATTCTTTACAATAAGTACAGGTAAACTTGGTTATCTCAAACTTTACTTGACCAGGGGAAATCTTCCAAGGTTTGAGATCTGGAAAGTGATTCTTGATTCAGTAAGAAGGATATTCACAGATTCCTGGTATTCTGCTTCTCAGTGAGATGCTGACATTAAACTGAACTTCAGTGTGTCATGATTTTGCATGACTGCATATTGTACTTAAAAATCCACCTTCCTATTATGGCCAAAAAAGAAAAAAAAAATAGGGTAATAGGGAACAGGGACATTTGTCATTGTACTTAAAAATCCACCTTCCTATTATGGCCAAAAAAAAAAAAAAAAAAAAATTAATAATAATAGGGTTATAGGGGACAAGGGCATTTATCCATTGAATTCAAATTTCCAGAATTGATACTGCTGTAAAACATAAAAATTGTTTCATCTTAAAGTTGATATTTTATTGGTCATGAAATTTCTTGCATTATGGCATAATTCATATCATATGGTAGTTTTCACGCAAAATGTATAAAGACATAACTGTGCCATGTTATTATGTACATGTATTTCAAATTACTGTTGATTTTATTAACTCCACTGGACAAAGACCAGAAGAGCCTATGCTTTGATAAGGTGTCTGTTATCCACCCATTTGTATGTATATTTTTTCACATTAAAGAGTTGGGTGAAATTTCAGTTCAGGGTTCATCAAGATCATACTATAGTTGCATTAGAAATGTTCATATTATGAAAATTCTTGTTGGTGTAAGCCTTTTTTTGTGTTTTTAAACCTCCAAGTGATATACATGTATCTATTGTAAAGTAAAAAAACAAGTTATATTATTGTAGAGTCAACCCCAAAGAATAAAAATTTTACCAGAATTTTGGAGAATATGTACTTTTGCTACACAATGTACCTCTAGTAAGAACATGCAGGTACTACTGGACATCAGCACCTCACAATGGAACTTGCTACTAAAAGTAACCCTTTACTGCTATTTTTTACACAATATACCTCTCAACTGTATGTAGCTGTCTGTTTGTCTGTAAATAATTTTTCCCAACTACTTCTCCTAGTGTCAGTTTTTAACTGATATCAGTTAAACTTGGTACACTAGTAGATTCTTCTAAATTTTAACTGTAAGCTCAAGTGAGCTTTACTTATCACTCATTGTCCAGCATCCATCAGTCTGTCTATCCATCCATATGTAAACATTTCACATTTTCAACTTCTTAATTTTTTCCATCCCTTATAGGACCTAATTCTCTATCCTTAAATATCCATCACGTATATAATAATCTGGTATTACTTCAAAGCATTTTACAGTAGAAAAGGATTTACCAAGAGAAAGTTTCAAAAATGTAATTAACTGAGCAGTAATTAATTAACAGAAATTGCATCGAAGTCTATGGAGACAAGCGATTTTTTAAAATAAAAATTCAAATAATAAGAATATCAATAAGTACTGTGGTGGATTCATTAAATCATTAGAAATAGAATGACAATTGGAAAAAAAAATTTTTTTTTACCATATATATATTTTTAAATTGATTTTTATTACTTAAAAAAAAGAGGGAATTATCTCTTCAACAAAGGTCAAGGTCATAAATTAGGACATGTTCCATTCTTACATACTAATGGTAATAAATGGGGATTATGTCTAAGAATCCTGAGTGTTCCACCCATACACATCTGTTACATATTCAAATTCATTGAACCTGAGGCTATTAGGGATGGAATACCTTAAGAAATACTAGGCAAATTTCAACCAAACTTGCCACATAACAGATTCACAGTTATTTGAATCAATGAGCAACAAGGTTATGTTTGCAATATTGATATTTAAGAATCACCATATTGTCTGGAATCAAATTTAGTTGTGCCATGACCCCTTGGAACTAGGGTGGTACCAGCATATGGGGGCACAATTTTTCATGGGAATAAATAGGGGAAAAAATCTCTTAAGAATCCTCTGATGGAAAAGAGCAGGGCCAAGGTTATTCAGGTGAGTATGGTGGCCCATGGGTATCTTGTTAATTTTTGATGAATAATATTTCTATGGTTACTTAAAAAATAAAAAAAGTCTATGGAATTCTATTCTTCCTCCTACAGTTCTGATCCAATTTCAAATGGTGCACAGATAGACTACAAGTATCAGTGTTTTGCTTACTTTGTGTGTCTTTTATTAGCTCACCTGAGCTTTTCTGATCACATTTTGTCTGTAGTCCATCTGTCCGTCTGTCTGTCTGAAAACTTTTCACATTTTCGACTTCTTCTCCAGAACCATTGGGCCAATTTCAACCAAACTTGCCACAAAGTATCCCTGGGTAAAGGGGATTCAAGTTTGTTCAAAAGAAGGGCCACACCCTCTTCCAAGGGGAGATAATCATGAATTTGTGAAAAAAATTAATGGCATCATTAAAAAATCTTCTTCTCAAGAACCACTGTGCTTGAAAATATGAAACTTATGTGGAAGCATCCTCAGGTAGTGTAGATTCAAGTTTATTCAAATCATGACCCCAAGGGGTCGGGTGGGGCCACAATGGACGATCAAAGTTTAACATAGGAATATATAGGAAAAATCTTTAAAAATCTTCATCTCAAGAACAGCAAAGCCATGATTGGTCATATTTTAATGGAAGCATCCTCAGGTAGTGTAGGTTCAAATTTGTTCAAATTATGACCCCCGGGGGTAGGGTGGGGCCACAATGGGTAATCAAAATTTTACATTGGAATACATAGGAAAAATCTAAAAATCTTCTTCTCAGGAACAGCAAAGCCATGATTGGTCCTATTTATATGGTAGCATCCTCAGGTAGTGTAGATTCAAGTTTGTTCAAATCATGACCCTCGGGGATAGGGTTTGGCCACAATGGACGATCAAAGTTTTACATAGGAATACATAGTAAAAATCTTTAAAAATCTATAATCTTTAAAAATCTATTTCTCAAGAACAGGAAAGCCATGATTGGTCCTATTTATATGGAAGCATCCTCAGATAGTGTACATTCAAGTTTGTTCAAATCATGACCCCCAGGGGGTAGGGTGGGGCCAGAACAGGTGATCAAATTTTAGCATAGGAATGCATAGGAAAATTCTTTAAAACTCTTCTTCTCAAGAACAGCAAAGTCATGATTGGTCATATTTTAATGGAAGCATCCCCAGGTAGTGTAGATTCAGGTTTGTTCAAATATTGACCCCCTGGGGTAGGGTGGGGCCACTATGGGGGATGAAAGTTTTACATAAGAATATATAGAAAAAAATCTTTTTCTCAAGAATAGAAAAGACAATTGATTAGTCATATTGATATGGATTCATCCCCAGGTAGTGTGTGAACTATTTCTGCTTCATGTATATCTAAAATGCGCATAATTTTTGCGTATTGTATGTATATTAGATAATAACCTTTGAATTAGGCATTTGTATTTTTATTAATATAATAAATCTGAAAAAAAAAAATTACGTTCAACACGTAATACTGGCAAAAAATCGGAAACTGGATTTCGACACTTTTCAATTATCTATTTTGAAATTATTTTGACAAACTTCTTCAAATTATCTATGAGATGCAGTCGACCTCAAAAATGTCAAATTATGACGTCATCATTGATGTACATAAGCATGAATGAAAAGAACGTAATTTTAAATTTTATATGAAACAACACGTGTTAAATGTGAGTTTAAGATATTCTAAAACAAAATAATTGACAAATTAGGGATTATGTAGTTATCAAGAATAAATCTCATATACTAATAACTAATTTAAGCTATTTACGCATATAATGAACTCATAACTGCTGTTAAAATGAAGGGCCTTGCTTCATTTTCTGATAGCTCATCGTTCATAAAATGTAAAATTCATATTGGCCACACTCGAGTACCTCTAAAATATTTTGCTTAAAAATGCATTTATGTAATTTTTTTTTCTCTGCAAAGTTTGGAATCGGTACTTGAGTGTGGCCACATTCAAATTTTGAAATAACTACCGTAAAATCGACATTTTTTAGCAGTTTTTAACTTTATTTGTATATTTGATGCTGCGCATGTGCTAAAGACAATGGTCTGTGTGGCAAAAAATTTTATGTAGAATAGCATGACATTGTGCACTGCAATATAACATTTGACAGGCTTAGTGATTTCAAACTTAAATTTTGTCTAAAATTTAAGGCACATTTTGATGGTTCGTGGTTCTAGCTCTTTGTTCAAATGAGGGCCCCAGGGGTAAGGTGGGGCCACAATGGGGGATCAAATTTTTTACAAATGAATATATAGGAAAAAATCTGCTGCTCAAGAACAGCAAAGCCATTTGTTACATTGATATGGAAGCATCATCAGGTAGTTTAAAATTCAAGTCCCCCCCCCCCCCCCCCCCCCCCCCCCCGTAAACTTTTCATTACTAACTGATTTTTGCTTTTTTTCCTAGCCAATGTGCTCAGGTGAGCGATGTGGCCCATGGGCCTCTTGTTTCAATGAACACTACACCATTGTGATTGTTACTAAGATCTGAATTTCTGTCAATTCTTTCTAATTGCTCCTTCCTCTACAATTTTGGTCCATCTTCTACAAAACTTGATACAATGTACAACTTTAGAAAGCTTCAAGATAAAAAAAGTCAAGGTGCAATTTTTTTTGACCAATTTTATCTAGGTACAAATCATTAGAGCCACAGTATTGTCAATGACTTCTTGTTTCAATATCATTAAGACCAAAAAAATGACCAAACAATTTATTTGTTTTAAGGAATTGCTGTATGCATCATGTTTGTTACTTGTATGATATTGCCTTTTTTTAAAACTCTGATATAACTTAATATACTGGTATTTTTTTCTTAAATTCTCTGTTCATAAAGATTTACTACCTGGTATCTTTATCTTGAAATATATTATTCTTTAAACTAACTGTTTTGTTGTTCTTCAGCCCCCCCCCCCCCCTTCCCCCCAAAAGGAATAGGTTGAACAACTGAACTAAAAAAAGAAAGAACTAGAGGTACTGTGAGTAAAGCTCACAAAATCGAAAAATAGCATTTTTGAAAAATTATTGCATTTAATGTTTCTCTTTTACAAATTTATGGACCAGACACTAATTTGACATTCTTCTGCAAGTCAAATGATGTTCAATCAAGATCACAATATCCCTTCAGATGATAGGCACTTTTTGTTATTATGAGCTTCGAATGTTTCTTGGAAGGACTGGAAGCTGGATCTGAATGACCAAGTTGAAGTCTAAAGAGCAGGTCCAATACCAAGTAACTAATTGCCCTGTAGAGACTAAACTTGCATGGTTAGTACATCTATGGATGCAAACTACCAGACTTGTTTCGGATGCTCAAACAGACCACATTTTCCTAATGAATGATGAGGTTAAAGTCATTGGAGAAAAATTCATTCCCAAATATAATCCCTGTTAATTTTAAGAATATCTGCGTGGATGATGCAACTAGGGATGCATATTACTATACTTGCTTCGTGTGCTGGACCTTACCTACATTTTCTGGATGAGTCACCAGGTTAAAGTTTAGGAGAAAGTCCATTCTCAAGTAGCTATTAGACCTATTGTGACCAAACTTGCATGGTTGACATATCTAGAGATGCACACTACCAGACTTGCTTCAGATGCTGGATCTGACCTATATTTTCTGGATGAGTGACAAGGTTACAAGTTTTTGGAGTATTATTTCCAAACACTATTAGCACTATGGTGACCAAACTTGCATGGTTGATACACCATCAAACTTTCTTGTGGATGATGGATCTGATCTACATTTTCTGGATGAATGACCAGGTTAAAGTTTTTGGAGAAAGTTTATTCCCAAATAAGTATATTCCCTATGTTGACCAAATTTTCATGGTTGATGCATCTATAAGACTATTAGATATGCTCTGGATGCTGCATCTAATCTACATGAGCGACCAGTTAAAAAATTTTGAAGAAGGTTAATTTCCAAATAACTTTCCTAATTGATGTCGGTGGGAGTTATAGCCCCTGGGAGGCCGAGGTCTGGCTGGCCTTCTCTCGCTCCTGTCCTTGCATGGAAGGTCCTGATTTGAACAAATTTGAATCTATACTACATGAGGATGCTTCCATATCAATATGACTAATGAGTCCTATAGTGACAAAACTTGCATCCCTCAATCATATATGATTACATGCTAGCATACTTGCTCCAGATATTGGATCTGACTTACATTTTCTAGCTGACTTATTGTATCTGATTAAAGTTTATGGAGCATTTCCATTCCAAAGTAACTATATATACCGTAACACTCTGACCAAACTTGCATGAAAATGTTTGTGAAAATGCACACTACTAGACGTGCTTCAGATATTGGATCTGTTACCTTCATTTTCTGGATGAATTACCAAGTAAAATATTTTTGAGCAGCTCCATTACCTGATAAGCCCTGTGGTAACTAAACTTGTACCTACCTACCTAGTCCTTGTTGCACCCAGAGCCGCATAGGGCATGGGACTAGGGATTTCCATTCTTCTCTGTTCTTAGCTGTCCTCTCCCCAGGTAAGATTAATTTCCTTCAGTTCTTTTTCAACGGTTTGCCTCCATGTTGATTTTGGTTGGCCTTTCCTCCTTTTCCATTCTGGGGTCCATCTAAACTAAACTTGCAGAGCTGATAGATTTTGGGATGCACACTACCAGACTTGCTTCAGATAAGGGATCTAACCAACATTCTCTGGGTGTCAGTCACCAGGTTAAAGTTTTAGGAGCAGGTCCATTCTCAGGTAACTATAAGCCCTATGGTGACCATATTAATCATCTAGGAATGTACACTACCAGAACATTATTTTCATGTGTTCATTGAGTTCAGCTTGATAATCTTTGATTACCTTTGTTTGATGATATTTGTTGATTTAACAATATATAAGGACTAAAAGATTCTGATCACATGAAAATTTCTTTTCAATATACAAAAGATCCATGAAATAAACTTCTTTAGCAACCTTTTTTCTAGTGACATTGAGAAATGTTCAAAAGAATGATTCTTTATACATGTACTTGTAATACATGTACATGTACTAAATTTAAATGTAAAAACAATACGGTACTTAAAATATTCCATCTATTGACTGAAAATCAGACTTTTAAAACAAATTCTCATGAAGTGGCATGGTTTTTATAGCTCCTCTGTGTCACTTCATTGTTAAACAAATTATCAAATGGTTTGTAACAAACTAAGAATAATGCCATTTTCCTTCATCTTTGATTCAATGTAGTTTTATGTTTGACATTTTTTCTCTATTTGGAGGGAAAAATTCCTTTTGATATTTATTTTTGGATGTAACTGTATTAAAAACCAGAAAGTTTGCTTTACTAGAAAAATCTTTATTTTTATTTTCAACACACATATATTTATAATAACAGAAATTTCAGAATTAACAAAATATAACAGAAAACATTATAGGAATAATATTGTTCTCAAGTGATAATTCTTTTGGGGGAATAGTCTTTCAAATCCCATTTCATTTAAAATTGTTGAAAAATGATACATATATACTAAAATAGGCAATCTAGATGATGTTTACTGACATATTTTAACAATTCGAATAAAAAGTGGCCAGTTCTCTGTGCAGTTTGAAGGATTATAATTTTAATATTAAAAAAAAAGCCTGTAAGCTTGTAAGCTCAATAACAAGAAAGTATATTGATCAACAAGGGGCCCTTGAACAAATTTGAATCTTGATTTTCACATCCTTTTCCCCATACCATATACTGTATGTGTGTGCGTGCTTTAAAAAAGCGGGCTTCATATTTTAGTGGATTTGGCATAATCAACAATGCACTAATTAATGAATACGGTACTCTTAATAAATCATTAATAAATATAGTACACAGCTTGGACATGTGAAGTGCTAATTCATGATTATGCCAACCACTCGATACCCAGTGATTGTGCTTAAAAACATGTTAATTTATGTACACACACAGTAATGAAACCTCTTTTGTAGAAGAGGGTGGGTGAGTGGAGGGGGGGGGTTCCAAATGAATCTTCACAAAACATTCACGTTTCACAAAAAATTTTGCCTTGTTCATGAGATGATTTTTTACTATGACATCAGCCTTTTTTTTAATTATGTTTTTACATGTATAACATTATAGCTCCTTGGAAAGGTGGAAGTGGGTCTTCATTTGAATTAATCAATCCCCCTTACCCAAGGATGCTTTCTGGCAAGTTTGGTTGCAATTGGCTCAGTGATTCTAGAGAATAAAATAAATATTTGAAAAGTTATCCAAACAAACAAACATACAAATACACCATGCAAACTCTGATCAGAGAAACTTAGTAAAGCCTCTGACAGCTGTAAGCTGAAATATATAGTTGTAGAGATCTCAACAAATGTATCACAAAGACAGCAAGGAGAGGAAAAGGCATCAAATATCACTTCATATTCATACAAAATTATACAGATTTGTAAATAACTGGGGGAGAAATGATACATGTACAGTTTGTTGTCAAAATCTGTTCCATTTTCAACCAAGATATTTGCTATGCAAATTCATGTATTTCAAAAGATGTCAATTTTTCAAACATTCACAACTCGTATCGGTATGAACAGTCAATGCCATGATTTGCAGGATTTTGGCAGACACTAGCATCTTTTATCTATGTGGGGTAGATAACGCTTCAACAATCCATGGATCACACTTTGAGCCTTCCCGAAACTCATCTTTTGTCAGTTTACCATCATTATTCTGTAAAAAAGTCATAAAAATAATACATATTAACATTTGTTGATTATAGCTTCATATCATTTCAGAAATGTTTTTTTTTTAAATACTTTCAACTAAATACTATGACAAATCAATATGTCTCTAAAGAGTTATTCCCCTTGTCACAATAGGCCTGTCAAGTGTTCAACATACTGTATCCATCTGGGTGAAGATCTTTTCCACTCTCTTTTCTGGGGTATCCTCATCCTTGGGGAGGTCTAGGAGGTTCCCTACCATGCTATAAATAGCATCCACTATACTGACCATTTCTTCTTTTGTGATATAGCCATCATTATCCAGATCATATAGACTGAAGGCCCCTGAAATAGATATGAGCCCAAGTTTCAGTTTATGTTACATACCCATAAAAATTTAAGTGTCATTCTCTGTAATTTCTTTCACTTTTATATAGGAGCTGTAGCACAAACAGTCACAGAATTTTGCTCTGATAAAAACATTTGATACAATAAACTCATATCAGGCAAAAATTGGTTGCTATATGCCATGGTTACTATGGCAGCAACGTCCTAAATTTTGAGAAAAAAAAAATATGTTGGTACCTAACATCACTCTAGATTATTCACAAAAGAAGATTCTTAAGCAATTGAAGCATGGCCAAGAATAACAGAATGAATTTTTAATAAAATTTATAGTAATATGGCTGGGATATTTTAACACATTCTTTTTTCTACTCTCAGTGATGTTCTTGCATTTTAAAGATAGGTTTATGTGCATGCACTTGTGGGAAGATTAAAAAATAACAGAACATTTGTATTACATGTCCTTCAACTGCTTGTTCAATTTTGTGGACTTTATCAAACTGAATTGAATTTTTAAAATCTATATTGTACATTATATTACTTTTTCATTTTTAAAGATTCAATAAATATAAAATTTGCAGAAGATTCACATTTTAAATGGGTCCTAAGTTATTGCTCATCTGCTCAATAATGAAGAATGGTGATTGTTTTCAAAGAACTTCATAACACAATCATGCAATTACAAATGGACTTGATACTTACAATCCAGTATCTCAAGATTAAATTCAAAAGAAGAGCTCCAGCTTACAGGAACTGTCTAATCTGACACCTGTGCAGTCCATTTTACTGTGAATTCCGACCTTTAGTTTCATTCCCATTTTACTATTTTTAATGTTTTTTTACACTGTTTAGTCCGACACTTTGTCTATTCCAACACAAAATTTGTCTCCTAGTGCATGATGGATTAGACAGGTTTCACTGTACTTGTAAGTTCTGGTGCTCTTTTGGAAAAGAAACTGGATTGTAAGCTACATTGCAGTATGTACATCTCTTTTTTGGTCTGGAATTGGGCAGAAAACTGGAGTGCAAGTACATTACAAAATCCTGTTTCTTTTCCATATTCCAGAAAAATGGAATATATACATGTACTTACAATCTAGTTTCTTTACTCAGCTCCATACAGATATATGGGATATACAAATACTATCCAGTTTCTGTGCTTAGTTTCAGGCATGTGGGATATGTACTTACTGAATCAGTTTCTTTACTCAGTTCCAGGTGCATGTCATATATGTAGGATCTATCATGGTTTTTGCATGGTTGAATATGTTTTTATCCAATGAGTTGTGTATTTTCTATCCCCATGCAAGCCTTGGCGATTGGATAGAAAACATACAAGTTGGATAAAATTCAAATCCAACCACAAACCATTGAGGATTCTTTTTAATCACTCATTTTACACATACAGCTATTACATGATTTACACTGTTTTTATATGCGAATCCACATTATTTGACTTCTTCACTTTTATGCAAAAACTATTGCGACATCACAACAGATGATATGAAAATGATATCAAATGCTATCCATCCACTGTATACAGATGTTAACATGTGATAAATACATGTACTATCCAGATTCTGTGCTTAGTTCCAGACATAAAGGATATACATGTAAATACTTACAGTCTAGTTTCTCATCCAGTGAACCTCTTGAAGTTATGGATAAAGCACAAATAAATTCTTTAAAAGATATATAACCATCCTGAAATACATAGGTATATTTAATCATTTAATGTGATAGAGAAAAAATATAAGAAAATTTCCTAGGCACTTAATTGTGAATTCTACAAAATATATTTTTCACTAATTCATATTACAGGACGAAGTCTGCAGACTCTGATTTCAATAATGTCAAAGATAAGAATTTTAATTATTTTAAAGACCTCAGGCATGCCTGGGTTGTACCTGAAATTTGATCTTGGTTACTAAACCCCAAATATCATTACATTATCATGTCTTATGTCCTGGTGTTATATCAAATCCCTAAGAGAAGTACAATCTATTCATTCATTTCAGTCCTTGACATACATATGTGATCTGAAAACCAATCCCCGAAATCCCTTCATGAAATTAATATAGTGGTAATATTACATACTGCTCTGCTGAATTCTTCCTAATGATATATCAAATCTAATGAAATAAAGGCCAGAGATTCAAATAAAAATTTTACTCAACAACAAAAGATAAAGTCTTGTTTTACTTCAAAGTGAGATTCCACCTTGGCTAGCTATTATGAGGAGATTCCTTTCATTTTAAGAATAACTGTGGTATATGTTCATGATTTTGATGAGAAATAATATCCAATAAACAACTTCTAAAGAGAAGTTTATTGAACAGGTATATTGTAATTAAGCTTGAGGGATGTTGGCAGTATTAGTTTTTCCCTTTAGGTCACATATTTTATGACTAACTATGACTTAAACTTGTTCAATTGATCTAGTGAGCTTACAGTTGACATCATTACATACCTTGTTTGCATCAAAAACATTGAAGACAAAACTGGCAAATTTGGTAGGGTCACCATTTGGGAAGAACTGTTGATATATTGTATGGAACTCCTAAAATTCCAAAAAAGAAACACTGCAATTAAGAGAGAAGGGTGAAATTTCAGATTTTGTTTTTTTTTCCAGTTATTTGAATCTGTTCTTAAAATAAGACCACAGTGACTGTGCTTTGCTTCTTAAATTCACCTCACTGGTGTTTTTTGAATTGCATGAACAGACCTAATGTACTTTTGTAGTTTGTGCTTTAACATCTGAAAGACTCCATGATGCATCTATCTTAGGCTCAAAAGGAAATAATTTCCTCTCAGTAACCTTGACCTTTACTTATAAAGAGTTTGAGATCAAGTTCATAACAAGAACCTCTTGTTATGTGTAATCATTTTAGAAGTGTTTCTTCATTTAAAAAAAACGCAAAACAAAAGGAAACAAAGAATTTGTATATATTCTTCTGATTTCTTTTTTCTTCATTCAACATTTCTTGATCTACATGTATTTCTTTGTTATCATCATTCCACATAGTTTTCAACAGATGGACAAACAGCAGATAGACATTGCAAGTTATACATTGTAGACCCTAATTTTTTGATTCGAGGGAAGGCAGAGTGTAATTAATGTTTTGTCTACAATAATGCACATTTACTAAATTGCTTGAAGTAAAATATTCGTTAATTCTCCATAATATGGGGTCAAAATTCTTGTGTATTTGAGGATTTTTTTCTTTGTAGGGAGCTTACATGATTTCTCAAAGTAATGAATCATAAATTTTGCCTACTAGGTGTGAAGAAGTAAAGAAGAAGATTTTCAAAAATCTAGAGTATTTCAATATGTTATCAACTTAGCCCTGCAATATGGCCTGAACTAGACAAAAAAAAGTGATGAATTTCACAAATTTGGTTAAGGGTTCATAAAAATTGACCTCATTTTTGTCTACTAGATGTCAAGGATTAAGGAACTTTTTTTTATTCACGAGAACTTTATTTTCTTATAATTACAAAAAATTGTCTCTCACAAAAATTCCATTCTTCAACATATAAGACTTAGTATTATTAAAGATTATGTGGAGCAATGACAGAAATTTGTTCAAAAAATGTCTCGCTTATAAATAAAAAAAAATTAGAAATATGTCCATAGGACATAAATGACCCACCCAGGGTTCATTAGTAATCCAAGGAAATTTGTATTAGTGTATGAAGTTTGATTAATATATTTTGAATAATTTCTTTAAAACTGAGTTTTCTACACAATAAAAAGTAAAGTCAGAGGTCACTGGGAAGGTCAAGATAAAAAAAAATTGGACACACAGTTAAATTCTTACCAATTATATATCAGTGCTGCCACTGCATAGGCTTACATAAAACTCTCTTGAATTGTCTCTTTGAAACTGAGCTAAACACATATTTAAGATAAGTCAAGGTCAAAGCAAAGGTCAAGGTCAAAAAATGTTCAATAGCTCTCACCACTATGTATCAACCATTATGTATCAGCATGTGAAGTTTGATAAATATATCTTGAATAGTTTCTTTGAAACTGAACTTAAAACACAAATTTTAAAAAAGTGAGGTTATTAGGGTCAAAGAAAAGATCAAGGGTCAAAAAGAGGCACCCTTGCTCATCATAACCATGCACTTAGTATGCTTGCTAAATATCTAGTAGCAGGGGAAATGTCAAGGTCAAAAAATTCAAATGCAGTTGAATAGCTGTCACCAATATGTATCAGCATATGAAGTTTGAAAAATATCCTGAATAGTTTCTTTGAAACTGAGCTAAGCACAAATTTAAGAAAAGTGAGATCAAGATCAAAGGAAATGTCCAGGTCAAAAAATGTTGATGCAGTTGAATGGCTTTCACCAATATGTATCAGCATATGAAGTTTGATAAAAATATCATGAATAGGTTCTTCAAAATTAAACTAAATGCAAAGTGTGATGGAAGGACAGACAGAAGGACAGAAGATGGACATGACAAACACATGTATCTGTTAATTCCAGCCACATTCATGGCACAGCATAAAAAATTTTAATAAAAAATTCTATTACATCTGTATTTATAGGTATTCCAGAAGGCAGTAGAAGAGTAGATCCTCAATACCTCATTTACATGTAAATTCAAAAGAAATTAAAACACCATTATGCCTTGTTCTTGAAAACTCATTTTCACACCTTATTACCCCCTTCCTTCTGATTTACAGAACCATCAAACAAAATCAATATGGCGTGTGACGAACCTGGGATCCAGGGTATTACCAAATGCCAAGTCTGTCAACCACTTCCATCAACAGATCATTCAAACTTTGTAAGCAAAAGAAACTCTTAACTGAATACTTCCTTTGCCTGTCTCATTTCATCAACCCACTTTGTTTAATGATCTGTGAATATTTTTCAAAGCAAAGAGAATTCACACCATAATATTGTGAATAAAAACATTCAAGAATATTTTTCTTGAGACAAATACAAACAGATTACCGAAACTAGAAATATATGTCAGTATCATATTAACATCTTCTCTTGGGTGAAAGACTTTGTTCCAAGATACCTCTTTACATGTAAGCAACCTTCAAGGTAATCAAAGAAACTGAGAAAAATGTGAGGTCAGGGTTATATGGAAGGTCAAGGTGGTCATCAAATCTATGTATACTTATACATTAAACACCTATAGTACTTGTAGCATGGGTCAATGCAGGTTCCCCAAGCAGTGCATTCCACTTATCTAGATGGCCATTCATTTCCCTACAAGCCATGTAGTACTACTTCTTAAGTATCACACAGACACTCATCAAAATATATATGCAATCAAGTTTAATGAAAGGGTCTGGAAATGATTCTTTTGCAATGAAAACAAATATCTGATACACGTTTGCAGCAAAGGGGAAAAAGTGCACTACTGATCCATTAAGTGCATGTCCCCAACATTTTCAGCAATAAATGAATTCAGCACCAATACATTAAATCAGATAGAGCAATCCATGTCCATACTTAAACATTTGCTGTGTGGTGCAATGATTGGCAATCAAGTTAAGCAGAATATAGCATAAAGCTTCATATTTCACCAAGAATCTATACTAATGTCCCTTTCAATAATTAATGTTTCATCTTTGCAACGAATGAAGATGATCAATGTATTGTCCTTAATGCTTATCTGCCATATATGTCTGTGATTTTTTGGTAGATTTTGGATTTGTGCCACAAAGTGGGGACAGATCAGGCAGACCCAGACTTCCACACAATAGTACCTTTATAAATCATCTAATGATAAAAACCTAATCTGTTAATATCGATGACCCAAGCCCACAATAGGCTTTTAACATCTGCACTAAAAGGATGTCAAAATAACAGGGCATCTCAAGAATGTATAGTTACAAACATAATTTTAACTGTCAAAAGGAGTCACTCCATCTGCTTAAGGAATATGACATTTTATTAAAGCAACTGCAAAAATAACCAATTAGCAGATTAATTTAATAGATATAGTAGGCACTCCCAAGATACGTGCATATCTTGTTAAACAAAAACAGTAAACACCATCTACGGGTAATGTTTATTTCTTTAAAGAATACAAATAAATATAGCCTATTATATAGAATACATATATGATAACAAAGAGATTAAAAACCCCACATTTATAGATAATGTGGCTATAATTAATTTACACAGATTGTGGTACAGGAGAGAAAATATATGGTTAAAATAGAAATGTAAGAAAAGAATTCATTGCAGATATTTCCTTGATATAATGAGACCCTGGGTGGCACACGCAATATGTCTTCATGTAAATTCACTGAATAATTGACTGTCATATTTATATAATGTGCATAAAAAAATTGTTGATTTATCAATTTGATATATTGTATGGAGTGATATAAATTATTCAAATTAGATGCAAAGCACTTATAATAAAGCGATACATTTTTAACCAAATCAGATCATTTTTTTGCAAAATTAAATGTTGTTCAGATTTTCTGTACAATAAAAAGATTGATCATTGTATGAAGCAATATAATGTAAGAAATGCTGGATTTTATCTGCATATCTTTGAAATACATACATTTAAGAATGAAATTCTGTTAGATCATTTTAAAGATAATGACAAATAGATATAATGACAAATAATCCTCAAATAGTTTTTTTTTTTTAAAGTTAAATCAAGTACTGTAGATATACCCAATTATACACAAGGAATTGATTATCGCGTAATTTCATGAGAAGCTGTGTTGGCGAAATAAAATACTTTTATTTTTTTATAGATGAAATACACATTTAAACTCAAGTTCGACAGTCCACTCATGAATTCAAGTTCAATTTGACGTCAGTGAGTCTTTTCGGGATATTAAGTACTCATGAAAAATAAGGAATCTACAGTACATACTCCCTCACTGTCATAAGTCGCTTAGTTCTTTCATACATCAAATTCACCTATTTGTTTATTTCAAAATTCGAAAGAAAAAATTAAATAAACAAATAAAATGCATATTCTGGTCTGTATGATCTTTGAACTTTGGTATTAAGTTATATATGACTTAGGCTATTAATTCTACATAATTATAGAGTGATAGGATATTTGTAGAACATGAATAAAGCATAAAAATACTGTTCAAAAGATGTCTTCATTTCATGTACAATTCATTATAAATTAATTAATGTACAAGATTTACTACACAACCAATAAACTCCCAATTCATGCACATTAAATGTCATCCTTGTTCATTAGTGATTCCTCTGTAAAAATATAAAGTTCAGAGGAAAAAAAAAAGCTTCAAGACCTGAGCAAATAATAGAGTCATGTCCATAAACAAGGGCAAATATACTGTCAGAACCAAATACACAATATAACTGGGAATTCGAATACAGATTGACACAAAAAAATTGAAAATATATGTTCATAATCAAGATTGAAATCAGTAAATTTTAAAATTTTGTTCTATTTTAAATCAAGAAATACTTATATTTTTATCTAATTTAAGCCCGATTTGGTGTATGTATATTTTAAATGTCTCCCTGAAAAGATTTACAACTTAATTTCATGTCTAATACAAAACAACTATAGAACACCCATATACT